ATGCAATTTAAGCTTCTTGTTATTTCTGCTGCTGTTGGTGTCTCTGCTAGATCCTAGTATTGCAGTGACCAAACCAGATGCAGTACTACAGCTCAGACCTGCTGCTGAGGGCAGTCTAAGATCTTGCACTTTTTTCTGTATATGCCAGTATAACTGTATTTTTTTGGCAATGACAGCATATTGTAGACTGATTTCAGCTCGTGACTCCCTAGCTCCACCACAGAAGTGCCACTTAACCTGCTGTTCCCCATTCTAAAGATGAGCTGTTGATTATTCCTGATGAAGTGTAGCACCTTGTTCTCATCCTCATAAAATTTTATTCTGTTTTTAGACCCTTTTTTCAGCTTGTCTGTATGATTTAGAATTCTAGTCCTCTCCCCCAGCATTGGTTATAACCTCCAGGCTGATGCTACATCTTAAATAACTGCTTTGATTATTCATTATGCAGCTGACTAATGAAATGCTGAATAACCCTTGAACTAAGTGAGTCTCTGCAGACATGACATGATATATCTTTCCATGGTGACAGTGACCCACTGCTAACTCTCAGCAGTGACCCAGCCGGTTTTCCTGGCCTCAGAGCAGTTTCTTTAGTTTGCTTCTGACAATGCTGTGTGACACAGCAATAGAAATCTTCCTGAAGTTGATTAAATTTGGATTTCCCTACCTGCAAGGCCTGTTACCGTGTCACAGAAGGAAACTAAACTGGTTTGACTTGATTCTTGACAAATACCTCTTATTGGCAACTCCAGTTCTTGTCTTCCCAATGCTTATGAACTGTTGGTGGGTTTATTGCTTCTGAAAGATTCTCAGGGATTGACAGTGAACTGGTTTGTGTGTCATTTTTCAGTTTCTCGTCCTCCTTTTGAAGATAGTCACTGCATTTACCCTTTTCCATGGCTGGTATAGCTCACATCTTCCCTGAGCTCTCACCAATAATTGCTGATGGCAATTGCTTAAGCTTCTTCTTTAAATATCTTGAGGTAGGTCTAGTGATAGCCCTGCGGAAAAAGAGAGCTCTAGGCATATTGAAACCCAGAAAAGTGACCTGGCACAAACCTACAAGCATATGTAACCAAAGCAAATTTCTGCTACATGTTCTTACCTAAAACGTGTTCACTGGTATTAGTTGTGTTAGCCTCCTACTCACTAGTTCACCTTATTTTGATTGGCAGATAACATAGATGCTAAGCCCTGTATCACTTTCTAGGCATTAACTTGATTAACTTTCCCCTTCTGCTGAACAGAGAAAAAACTCTTCACTTGTTTTTTGTCTTCCTTCCTCCCCATGTGTTTAAAGAATTATTTCTTGCCATTCTTCATGTTTCTTACTGTTTGCATCTGGTTTTGATTCTTGGCCTTTCTGCCGTTGTGCCTGTATTCTCTTGCCACTCTGTTATTCAAGTAATAGTAACCAGACACGGATTCTTCTGTGCCTGTGCTTTCTTCTTCTGTTTGAGTTCAACAAAGGGCTTATGGCCATGTTGGCAGGCAATGATTTAGCACTCCATGTTAGACTGGGATTAACCACCCTATTTGCCATATGTACCCATGACTACAATAATGGAGCTGTAAAATTAGAACCTTTGTCTGCACCTTCCTTTTATGCATGCATATTTAACTTGGGCCTTTTATGTTAGTGATTTTAACTAGGTGTATACATTTTCTTTCTCCACTGCCAAGATGTAACTTTCAATACCTGTAACACTTAGGCATCAAAAAGAGATTTCCTGAGGGAGCTACCAGATGTCTGTCCTCACTAATCATCTTCCCAATAAATGTCTGGATGTTTCTGATTATTTTGGAGGAAACTCTTTTGTTAGCAAATGATAATTAGGTATGGATTCTCTGTAGAAAAAGAAAATGAAGTATAAATATTTTGGACAGCCCTCTGGGATTTACTATGACATTCTTCAGACAGCAAATGGATTCCTATGCATCTCTTGGAATTTTGTCATCCTTCAAAGTAAAATCAGTACTAGTATCCCTTAGTCTTAGTGGTAGGCAACAGTGAATGCAATAGCAAAGCAAGTCATACAAGTGCATTTGTGCTTCTCTCTTCTTCAGCTTTGCTGGAAGTGATAGAACAACACAGATTTCTGGAACTTTTCCATGCAGACTGGCTTCTTTTCCCTATGAATTGAGAACTGCATCTTGGACCACATGGTTCTGTTAGCAAGAGGAGTTGGGAATTTTTTTCATGCTTCTTAAAGACCATAGCATTTTACACAAAAACTGGCCCGACTCTGCAAGTGCAATGTCTGGTTGTTTTATGTTGGCACCAGGCAATTAAAAAAAAAAAGGATATTATTTTACGCTTAGTAGTGTGCTGTAACATAGAAATAACACCTTCCACCCCATTAGATGGTGAATAGAGAGTGCCCTACTGCAGATCCCCCTCGCTGTCACAAGTGGGAGCAGGTTCAATGGTGTTGTACTGTCTGGATGGCAGTAGTCCAATTCAGCAAGGACTCCTTCTGTGGTGCTATCACAGTATTAAGTCTGAATAGTGGGTGGCTGAGTAGTCAGAAACCAAGACAAAGACAGTCCATCCTCTCACAGAGAAGCTTTATTGGCTGCATATACAACTATGCAAAACTTTGCTATGATATATAGACTCTAATAATAAGATATCACTGAACCAAGTGAAGGCATCCTTGGAGTCTTGGCATTCTGCGAATTACATATTTCAGGACCTTCAGCTTCTCTTTATTCCAAATTTTCCCGAGTTCTCTGCTCTGATCCCCTTTTATACTTTCTGCAGTTATTTAAGATGGGTTATACCTCTCCTTACTTCTGTGGTTGCCCTTCCTCCCTGAGATGTCAAATTTCTTTCCTTGCCTCATTGTGGGCTGTACTGCTTGTTCTACCAACCAACTGAAAAGCAATTATGAAAAAGATTTTACAAAATAGCTACAGTTTTAGAAAAGACTATATTGATACCATGAAAAAATATTAGAACAAACAGTGCTTTCCACCTTATCAAAGGTTATTGCACCTGTAGGCAATTCCTTTCTCTCCTTTTCTTGAAGCTTACGTATGAAAAGTATGATATGGCTGTGGGACCATAATGAGGGTATGCACAAGAAACACATATGCCAGGGTGAATAGAAGTGTAAGGTTTGGATTTTGTGCCAGAATTTCCATTTGGTGTTATTTAAAACTGCAGATCAGGGCTAGACTATGTGACCAGCCCTAGATGAGTGTATAGTCAAACTGTACAATGTTGTTCCATTATAACCTGGCTCTGACGGAGCTGCTCCTTTAACAGGCATCTGAGGCCTGTGAAGAGACAAACAATGTTAAACTGGGCCATCTCAGAAAACCTCATTGCAGGCATCTAACTTCAGAGCTTGGATTAGGAGTCTCAGCTTCTCATAAAGTCAGTGGAGCCATTTTGGTGCCTGCGTGTGCCCTCACTCACCTTATGAAGACTCCATTGACTGAGACCTTCATTTGGACCGTTCACACAAGGGAAGTCAAGTTTCAGTTACACTTTGGGCTAAAAATTTACTCAATGTGTGATTCTTGTAGGAATTGCTTCCACAACTTTGGGCTCCTCCCCTGCAAAGTCCTCTCATGCACGTACAAGGCAATTCCACTTTGCCAGAAAGTGGTCAAGAGCCTGGAGTCCTTTGAGATGACTTTTCAATTAACCTGGTCCAAAAGCATAAGTGTTGAAATGAGGGATTTAAGAATTCATTCTGAGGAAGCCACAGGAACAAGTAAAATAGAAGCAGAGTACATTGCTGGTGACAGTCATTAGGGCTGAAGAAAGCCAGGGATAAATTGTGTCTTAGTCCAGGAAGATGGATACCTCCACAGCCTGGCAGGTTAGTTACTCTGTACAGACCAGGAAGGCTGCAGCCTGCTTCCTGGTGAAAGGAGGTAGAGTGTCCTCCTGTGAGAGAATGACAAAGCCATGAATTGAACAAATACATTGCAAGATAAGTCTTTAACCATGCTCTGGGGCAAACACATATTGAGACCATCTCTCTCTTTTCCAAAAGGTATCAGCTCCACTTTCTGAATGCTTGATTTCAACCAGGTACTTACAGAGATCCCCTGTCCAGGAGGGCTCGTGCTTGAGCTTTGTCAGGACACAGCCTATTAGCAAAATCCCAGATCAAGAGTTGAGCTTGAAGTGAGCATCCTTAAACTTTTGCGGTTCGTAGGTTTTGGCTGGGCTGCTATCATGGTTACCTAGTGTGATGCTGTGCAGGATCCATATTCATGGTTGGTTCATGTGCCAATGTTGCTGTTGTCCCCAAGGCTTCATTTTCAATGTAGTTAAATGAAGCCCATAATGGATTCTTCCCTGGAGTGCAGGGCACCATCAACAGGCCCTGCGTCTTTATTTTTCTAAGCAAACTTCTGAGTTTTCATCTCATTTGAAACTTACTGGAACAAAATCTCACTTTAAGTGAATTACAGCTAAAGCAAGGGATGGGAGCTGCATATTTCAGCACAGTCCCTTTGAGAATAAAAGCAACAAACGTAAAAATTTCCTAAGACCCTCTTATGTGGGTGGCAGCAGCCATTGTTCGCCAAGGAGAGGACATGGCCTTCGAGGAGCAGAGGCAGAGAAGGAGTACAGCAGTGATCATCCACCACATTGTGGTCCCTTTAAATCTTCTTCTCCACTTGGCAGCTCCAATTTTTCAGTGTTGCTATAGCAAATCTCCATGGCAATGACCCTAATCAGGGAAGGGGGGAATGCAGAGGGGACGCATGCTCAGAGTGGCTGCTGGAGCTTCGCCTGCTCGCTACAGCTGCTCCAAGGGTCTGGCACGCAGGCAAAGAGAAAGATCAGGTACTTGGCAAACTGGTCCTCAGGGTGCATCGCAAGCCTGTGGTGTGTCACTGCAGTGGTGTGTGCATGTGGGTTTGTGTGTGCATGTGGGTCTGTGCTTCTTACATCTTGTCCACTTCTTTGTGGGGAGCGTGCTGGGAGCAAACTGCTGATTTTCACTATTTCTCCTTGTTTCAGGCAGGGAAGATAGCTTGCATTATTGATGAGAGTAATGGCGTTGCTGTCTGTCTGGAGTGTGATGCGTGTGGCGATCCCATTCATCTCGGTGGTTGGCCTGCTGAGCGTGAGGCTTGTGGGGGCCAGCCAGGACTCTGGGAGTGTCATTCCTGCAGAAAGTACGTACCTGCGGCGCGCACTCATGCCCTTCTGCTGCACCGCATCCTGCTTGCTTTCCTCTACTTAACCCACAGCAACCACACGCACCTTAAGCTCCAGGGGAATGTTCCATTGCCTGGTTAGCGAGGGAGTAATGATGAATTAGTAACATGTCAGCAAAACACATGAAAACAACGGTTATAAAAAGAGCAAGTAAGAAAAGGATTACTACTTATTGAGTAAAAAATACTAACTGCATACTATAATTTTCATTGGAGCTTGTTTTAAAGCTCTTTGATTGTAGGTCTTTCAGATCTGCACCTCAAGAGTTTCATTTCCAGATTTGCCACAATACATATTACATCCTTCCTACTCTGGATATTGTTAGAAGAAAATCTGTGTTTATTTCTGCTAGGGCATTACATTTTGCTTATTTTAGTATTTGGTTGGAACAATAGGTCAAGTTCATCTTTCTTGTAACTACTACAGATTGACACAGAGGAAGTTTACCCAAACAGTGTATTTGTAAAGCATATACAGATTTCTGAAATCCTGCTGCTATTCTGCAAACCTAAAAAATAAATAAATACGATAGACTGCATTGAGCACACCATGGAGCTGAGAGCTCTTGAATTTGGATCACAACTCTATATATTAGCTTCCTCTGTCATTTTAGGCAAGTCTCTAGTTAAACTTTCTCAGCTCCAAAATGAGGCAATAGTTCAAAGATATTAGGTCATGGAGTCAATGTTCTCAGGGTCTTTTGGTGACAGCAAGTGGGAAGTATCCACTCATTAGAAACTTAAAATATCCTCTGGCAGAAAAAAGACAACAACAGAAGGTAATTACATACAAACCAATCTCTAGTTCTTACTCATGCTTACTTTGTATCACAGCTATCTTTTTACATGACTACCAAAATATTTAATACAAGACCTGATTTAGTCACTGCATTTTATTATCCTATAATTCCATTACTAGCTTTCAAATACACCTATGTGTATTTGTCTCTACAGGACTTACATGCTGAATTCCCTTCTTTTTCCATTCTATACTTTTTTTATTACTGCTAAGTTTTAGTCTGTTCTAAAACAGACCTCATCTCTATTTTGTGTGTCTGTTTTCTAGGCATTAATTAATTTTAATAAGTTTTGTGACAAGTGGTCTATTTTATCTCCTCAAGGAGAAAATCATGATTGAAAAATAAACTATACGTGCCCTTTTTGTGTCTATGTTAGCAGAGGCAAGTCAATACATTTTTGGGAAAAAGTATAGTGGTTCCTTGTTCTGCTTGTGTAGTGGAAACTCCCATTTTATCTGTAGAACAAAACTCTTGGCCAGTGTCTCTGACCCCAGTCTCAAGGAGTTATCTTTTTTATATCCTTTCGCCAGGGTACTGAGTCCCCTGAAGAGCCCTTGAGGAAGATTTCTTGTCTTGTCTTACTCCTGCATGTGAGAGTGAGGAATGAAGGGCAGGTCAGTGTTTCTGCGGCCAGTGTTTCTGCAGACATGCTCCTCTGTCCTGAGTAGGGGAGGCTGGTAGCATTGAATGCATAATGGTGTTTATGTCTGAGGCCCGGCCAGGAGGAAGACTCTCAGCTGATCATGAGTTGTAAATTGTTTTGTGCTGCTGCAGGGACTGAGTTTTAAAGCAACAAGGAACTCGGGATGCTTCTAATCAGCCACTTGTTGAGAGAGTGCTGCATAGCTGCTAAGTGCTCCAGGTACTTTCCTGTGCCCATAAGGGCTTTTCCTAATAGTTAACCTGTGGAACTCCTTCTTTAGGACACTATGGGTGCTAAAAGTTTGCATGGGATTGCAGAACTGATTGGGTAAATTCAAGGAAAAAAATTCTTAGAAAGGGCTGTTAGATACAGCAGCAATTCTGGCTCAGGAGCTGCCTCAGCATATTCCTGAGGCCTGGGAGAGTCTTTGGGGAGACATCCCTCCATACTTGCCCTATTCTTACGCTTTTTCATGGGCATCCATTGTTAGCCATGAAGGTCACGTCTATAACCAGTGCCCACGGATGTTCCCTGGCATGGCGACATGACTGTACTAGTAACCTGCTAGGATGGTCTCTGGCACACTTTTGTCCATGACAGGAGGCCAGTTGCCTATCTGGAAGACAGAGCTTACTGTTCAAGTGATGTGCTGTCCCATGCCAGCTGCTTTCAAACCTTGGGAATGCTCCTAGACACATTTAACATACTACAAGAGATGTAGCTTGTGAGAGACAGGACACTGGGCCAGGCAGACCTTTGATGTGATCTAGTACAGACATTCCTGGATCTTTTTCTGCTTGATGTCAGCTTCACTGGCTGTTTCTCATCAAGTGGTTGATCCTCCTGGGCACTGACCTATTTTGGGGGCAGAGCTACTAGAGCATGTGCACACACCTTCCCTATTGCTGGCACTGAAATCCATACTGTCAGCCCAGGTAAACTGATGGTTGTGGGATCCTGAATGACCAGGGAGAAAAAGGGAGCTCTAGTACACATTCTTGACAGGGATATATGATGTACATGGACCATACTAAGTGTCCTTCTGCAGGGCAGACCAGTGCGGTGCTTGATGTTTTTCTCTGTTCCCAAGTGTGCAACATGGGACTGGGAACATGCCTTTAGCAGGAACAATCCCTCACGGACCACACAGCACTACAGCCTCTCTCTCCCACTTGGTGAGAGAAACGTGTCCCTCCTGCAGCACCCCAAACAGGAGAGGGGCAGCAATGCTCTCGTGCAAGTGTGGGAGGTGCAGGAGTCACAAGAGAGAAGCATGAGAGTGAGTCAGAGTTGTTCTTAGCGCTGCAGAGAGATCCTGCTCTGTGTGTGGCACCGATATCTGGCTTGGGGTACCATCACCTGCTCTCCACTTGGCATACTTTCTGCCAGCCAGAGAGCCAGGCCAGCTTTTTATGTATAATGCTAATTAGCAGTGATTAATCATGTCCTTATTATTTATACACAGCACTTTGCATATGCAAAAGACTGTTCAAGTATGAAATGGTGTTACTAATGTTTGTGGATTATTTTCTTTCAAGTTCAGAGCAATCCACTATAAAAAAAATTAAGTAATTTCCCCAACATCCCATTGCATTTATAGCCCAAATCACACACTGTGAAAGCTGAAAGATGGAATCTGAAGAACAGAAGCTGGTCAGTCTGTTTTCATTAGCCAAGGTGCATGAAATACAAAGAGTAAATGCCATATGCATGCAAGGGAAAGTATTCCACAGTGCTTTCAGTTCCAGTTTTTCACCAAGAAGAAGCCAAGAAGCATATTTTAAGCTCTTCTCCCCCACTTCTCCCCAAACACTCAAAGACACATACAGTCTTTGTGCTGACAGGACCCATTTAAAGAATTATAGCTGACTCTTGATAATTCTCATTATGTTAATCCACAAACCTGTTAAGTCTCCCTGTGAATGATAGCCTGTTCCTAGCTGTCAGCAAGGAATTAATAACACTCTGCTGTACTTTGCTATGATGTGACTTAAGGTTTGGTTTCACAGTTGCTTTAAGCTGAGGTAAGCTTATGCTGCTTCTGCCCTTCTCTTCCCCATAGCCTGGCCTCCTGTCCTTGCCCTATTTCTTGTTCTGGCCTCAGAACTTGGGCATTCAGGATCTGATCTGGAGGGAAAAAATCAGTGATCCAGCTGACCAAGCAACTGCACGGTTGCTCCTGTTGTGAACGAGGGAAAGTGTGGGAACACGTAGCCAAGGACAGAAAGCAGGGTGGGATTGTTCCTATTGGCAACAGCACATATTTAGATTTGTTTAAAACCTTTGTGAAAACAGACTGTTAGACATCATTAAGTTGGGGAAATGTCCATGGGCATCCAACTGAAAATAGTGTGAGCATGAAGAGACATTAAGTCCAGATAGATGGGCCAGCTTACCAGCCCAGCTCTTCAGTCTGGAAAGGAGACACCAAGGCAGGGAGTGATGGAGAGCAGCAAAGTCCTAAGTGGGACAAAGATGGTGAATATTTAATAACTGTCTCTTCCACTGCAAAACTTAGGGGCAGGAAATGAAAGCAGCAGATGTTCGCTTCAGAGCAGACAGAAATGGTATTTTTTTCATTCACTGAAGAGCTGAGCTGTGGAACTCATTGCCACAGGTTGCGATAGATGCCAAAAGTTTACATGGATTCAGGAAACAACAGGGAAAATCAACGTGAGAAAAAATCATGGAGGCCTTATCAGATGTAGAAACATCAGCCAGACTCAGGATATCCTCCAGCCTCTTGGTAGGCTAGAAGAACATTGCTAGAGGCTTATTCTTAGATCTTCCTTCAGTATCTGCTATTGGCTACTGCAAGAGTCTGGCTAGTATAATAGTTTAAAAGCCCAGTTAGAGTCAGGACTTGGGCAGCTCTGCTGGTAAAAGTCCGACTGTAGCTATAGGCTTTCCAGGTAGTAGGGTATTGCCCCTATTTTATTTAGAGAACCGCATTCAAGTTGCTCCATACTAGTGCAAGATGTTTGATGGAGAGATGAGCACTGCCCTAGTTCAGTCCCCAAAGTGCTGAACAGATGTATGTTCTGCAGGGCTGCATGGGTAGAAGAGTTTATAGCCAGCCACCTCTCCAGCTGCTTGTCACCTCCTTCCAGGTACAGCTGTCCTCTCATCTGCCAGTAGTGCTGCTTCAGTGAGTCCTCTCTGTGCTGCTGTAAGTCAAAATGATGCGTCCCATCCTGGGATATAGCCAGCTGGAGGAATCGCATGTGGTCTCCCACTGTCAGTGCTGCAGGGCTGCTAGCTCCCAGCAGGCAGGGGTGCTAAGCTGACCCAGAGATGGCTGTGCCTGGAGAAGGACCCTCCACCAAGGCGGACAGCCCAGGAAACTATATTAGAGAGTGAATATGCCATTATGTGCTGAAACTGGCTGCATCTGCACTGTGGCTTTGAAGGGCAGTGCCGTGTTAGGAGCTTCGCATGTGCTGATCCAGGACACACAGAGCTGCACAGGCAGGTGTCAGTGCCACCACCATTTTCCTGCAGAAGCTGCTTTGATGCCAGGGTAGCTGCTTTGCAGGGGTGGCAGAAGTGAAATAACCACTTGGCATAGTTGTGCCATTCCACTAGTACCTTCCTGTCCATGTAGGAGCACTTGGTTGCATAAATACCAGTGAATGATCTCACACAGCCATGGCCCTCATGAGGGCCTGGGAAGACTTCCTGATTGGCAGGCAGTGATTGACAATGGAATTCATGGCTTTCCTCAGAGGTGCTTTCTCCACACTGCCAGAGCAGGAGACATTCATTTAGGACCCAAAGTTTGTTTTTTCTCCATCAAGTTCTGATTTCGAGAACACTTTAGTGACAAGCACTTCAGGGTATCCAGCACTTCACTGAGGTGGAGCCAGGGCAGGGTGCTCTCTGAGAAGACCACAACAAGGGGAAGGAGCAGGCCATGGCATCAAGTGAATGATGGATTTACTGACAGCAGACTGAGGATGCAGGTTCCTTCTAAGGGCTCTGCTCCATGATCTGAAGTGAAAACAACTAAATTACTGAAATACTGAAAACAGGAGGGGGTTGAGTGTCTTTAAAGTGTACTCAAAACCATGCTGTCACTAGTCCTCTCAGGCTTAGAGAGAGAGTCTTTGTGAGCGATGCTGTTCTTACGGAGGTGGGGACTTTGCATCTCCCCACATCCCTGGAATTAAATGCCTGGCTTGATCCCTGGTCTCCCTGAGAAGTCAGCTTTGTGGAGGGGAAATGGAGGGAGGTGGGTGGGAGAGAAACACCTCCTGAACAGGTCAAAGCCCCTAAGAGGCTTGCTGGGGACCGAGAAGCAGTCTGGCTGCTCCCTTCCATCATGCCCAACTCAGAAGTCCGTGTTGGCAGCAGGGTGCCAGGCACGGGTTGCTGCAGTGCTGCACGGCAGGTCCCTGGCTCCGAGCAGCTCCCCAGCTATCTCAGCAGCAGCTTTGCACCCTCTTTGCTTTGTCAGAGCAGCACAAGTGGCTGCCTGTGGACAAGGATTTCAGCACTCCCCCCAACATGGGGGCTCTGTGATCAATGTAAAATGTCCTCTCTCCCCATTTCCCCTATATCTCCTCCAGTATCTGCAATTTCTTGTTCTGAAAACCCACACTTCATTAACTCTGTGACTGAACGAAAGGGCCTTAGATCAGGGCAGAGTGAATCCTGGCAGAGCAGAAATGCCCAGGTGCAGAAGTGAGCCATTTAAGTTGTTGTCAAGTCCCCTCCTCCTCCTCTTCTCTGCCTTTTCCCTGCCCTGCCCCTCTGTGCACAAACACTGGCACCAGCTGCAGAGCCAGTGGGATGCTTTGCATTCCTGGCAGAGGAAAATTACAGCAGCAGGTGAAAGGAAGCAAATACAAATCTGACACTGTCCCTTGCCAAGCTGCTCTGTAAGAGCTCCTGTAAAAACAGACCTGCCTGTCTGATTTCTGAGCCACTGCAAACTGCTATTTTCAGCATATCTGTTGAGAATCAGTCCATGTCTGAGCAGAGTTGAGGATTTCAGTTTTGAGGGGAGAGGCTGGGGGCTGAAGGCACATAGCACCGGTCAGAAGGGCTATGTTCAGAAAAGCACACACAGGAAAATGCTCTTGTGTTTTTGCTGGTCCTCACGCATTTGCACAAGGATAGATACAGCCCTGTCCGCAGGCAGCCCTAACTTTGTACACATGCAGGTTTGGGTACCTGGTAAAATGAGTTTTCTCCTGGCATTGCAAGGTCTCTGAGTATTCCCCCTCTGTACTGCTACACTCCAAATTTCATGCTGTGACAGTGATGTCTTCTTCTGTACCTTTTTCCAGGTCGTCCCTGTGTTGACTGCCATGCATTTGAGTTCATGCAGAGGGCGTTGCAGGATTTAAAGAAGACGGCGTATAATCTAGACACACGGGTATGTGTTTCTATAGAAATCCTTTTACTTAGCCTTTATCTCCAAGTGGCCAGGTCTGCCTGTCTGTGTACAGCAGACATGACATGTCTGCTGACTCACTTCCATTTCAGCAAGTAGGATTGTACCAAGTACAGATTATGTCTCACAGGCTGGAGAGGTTTGTTAAAGATCATCTAGTCTGACTTCTTGCATAACAAGCTAAAGAATTACCCCAGACAGTCCCTGCATCAAATAGAGAATGAAAGAAGATGCATAGAGGAGAGAAGAACAAGAAGGATGATTTACTCTTTACCTTACAACATTTCTTCCGAGCCGTGAACTGACTGTTCACTGGGCAGGAGCAGAAAGTGAAGGGAGAGCAAGAAGGTGGCAGGCAGGGCTGGCAGAGAGGAAAGGGAAGCACATATATTCCATGCTTATGGATTGATACTCTGTGAAAAAGGGGGAAGCACATTTGCTTATGTAGTTATCATAGCACACAGGGAATTTTGCAACTTTACATGCCGGTCTTGTGCTGCAGAGGTCCCAATGAACAAAAAATGAGGGAGTGTTAAATGCCCTTATTTTAGCAATGCGTACATATGTGGGTTCATAAATACGCACACTGACTGCGGTAGGACATGATTCCCATGCTGTCTGGAGTTTGCAAGAGGCATTAGGTCTCTCACCTCTAATAAAGACCCCCATATATGTCTTGTCCTACCTCCCCTTCCCTAACAGCTCCATTAACACTGGCAACATGACAGTAAAGCAACTTGCGGTGACTGAAACCAGTTCGCAACCACATCTCCCAGTTCCTTTGCCCGCTCAGTGCCTTTGACCAGTGCCGTCTCTGTTGGTAGGGCTCCTTGCTCCTCTAAAGTCATGCTCTGCTCAAATTGTCATTCACAGCAGAGTCAACCATAGAGATGTAAATCAATTATGTGTCTCAAACTATGACACAGAAGGGCAATTATGTTGCTTTGCCTTTGGTTTCTTGTGACCTTGGGCAATCATGTAGGGCCCCACACAATAAGGTTGGAGTGACTTTAGCTTTCTTGAGCTATCAATAGCAAACTGATTAGGGCAGAGCTCTGAGTGCTGTTTGGGTTACATTGCAAAAGTTTCCCATGTGCTAGCATAATACTAAATAACTCCTAATTGGGGTAGAGTGTGAATAGAGGGGCTTTACCTCCAGCAACTGTGCTGGGCTGTTCTGGTGCATAGCAGGGTTTCACCTGTTTCAATTAGTTTCAGCTGAAATGTTTTGTACCTACACATGACACTGCAAGACCATGTGCAATCGCAGCTGTGTTCGTTCTTATACTGTCACGAGGCTTTGCATGGGAAGTTAAAGAAGGTACTAAATTTCTGTACTGGGAAGATTTTTTGGAATGCAATAGAGGCAGCACAATTCCTTAATCCCATTTACAGAGATATTCAGACATATTTGTGTTTGCTATTCTATTTGGAGAGTGGAGTGAGAATACAACCCATCAGAAAGCAATGCTGTCTTATAAGATGTGAGGCAGAATATAAGGAGAGAAGCTGGTCCCGGGCACTGGTTCAAACAGCTCTCAGTATTACAGAAAAGGGGCACAGGAACAGTGCATCACCAAAACAAACGTAACCAGTTATCTGGAACATCACCCACCCTTTGACAACTGTCAGAGTTTAATACTACTAGTAAAGAATGGGTATATTACTGTCCATCTTTTCCAGCCTTTGGATTGAGACTCCAAAGGCCTTTCTGGAAGAGATGCTTTAGTTAAATACAAATTACTGAATGATGCAGAGATAATAAAGTGAAATGCAGTGGCCAGGGCCCTACAAGTGGCAGATTGTGGCCTTCTGTTCTCTGAAAGGTACAGCCTCCATATCCTTACTCAACCACTGGTGCTTGGCTTATGCTGACCAACTATAATTTCACAAGTTTTACGCACAAATAACTTAATTCAACAACTTCTGAGTCTTCAAAGTTGTTTCAAGGGCAAGCCCCATACAGGACTGTTCCTATCACGGACTGTCTAAGCCAATGCCCACAGGGCTGCAATTAATTTTTGTAATTGATGCTTCTCTCTCATAGTCTTTCAGTTTACAACTGAGTGTTCCCAGAGCTGCTCTTCCTGCCTGTAAATAGTCATGAGTGACGCCTAGGCAGGGTTTGTGGTAACAGTGACAGCTTGTTGGCATTATGGTGAAATCCAATAAGCCTGTTTGATGTTAAGATGATTCTATGATTTCTACTGGGCTCCCAACAATGAAAGCATTCACTCATCCAAGATTTCATTGTACAAGTGAGGAGCTGTGTTTAATAATGCCTGCTATTGCACTAAGCCGATAAGTGAAAGCAGACAAGGAAAGTGAACAAGTCCTCTTTAACGCAAAGGTGGATGTCAAAAGTTTGAGCTACAAAGGATAGAGGGCTGTGGAGGGGAGGGAAAAGCAGTTCTGAAACAGCCTCTCCCCACAAAAGAAAGAAATGAGTCACAGAGAGTGGAAACTGCTGGGGGACGGAGGTGCTGCAGGTCAAGCAAGGCAGAGCTTGGTGGAGCGGGACCCCAGGTAGAAGTGCCCAGCTACTCCTTTGGAAACTGTGTGTCTTTGTTAATTAGCTCTTTGCTGTTTCTAATTTATCAGGAGGTATCATGTCAGAGAAACACCAGCAGGCTGAAGAATTTCTTGTTTCACAGAGCTTTGAGATAATTTGTTAACAAGTAGTTTTCAACCTTTAATCGTTTTTTCCAGTGCAGGTGGGAAACCCATCCATGGTGAATTTAAGCCTGGTAACCTTTTTTTCCCCTCAAGAAACTCTTAAAAGTTAGTCTTCAAACTTAAGGGACCACAAAGTGAAAAACACAAGATATGCTCAGGAAGACATTTCTCTTCAGTCACAATTGCACTTGCTAATGTTAGTTGCTTGCACCAACAATTTTATTTTGAGTCTTGCAAGAGGCTCAGCTTCTGAAATGATGGTGCCATTTGAGAAATTCAGCCTTTGTTTCTCAAAAAGTGAGACCAGGACCCACAGAAGATTTAAGTTATTTGACCACAATTAAATAAATCATACTTAAATATCTCTGAGGATCTGAAGTTAATTTTTTTTTCCTGGGTACAGAAAAAAAAAGCTTGGAAATGCTTTTCTGCTGAAGCACTCCAAAACCAAGAGCAAGTAATTTTAAATGATGTCTATAAAGAATGATTTTTAAGCTTTCGATGGAGTTCTCAGGGCATGGCTCCAAATGGAGTTGATAATAAGGCAACTGTCAGTAAATTAAGTCAGGTTAGAATAGAAGCCACAAACTCAAGTCTAGATCTGCCCTGAAAGATTATGAGTTTCAGTCAATAAGGTTAGACTGACAGTGGGACTGAACTCAGAGTTATTCTAGAGAAACAGCAGTGTAACTGAGAGCACAACTGGCTCCTCAGCACATGCTATGTGGTGCAATTAAATTATACAGTACTGAAGACATCATCAACAGGAAGCCATCAATCACTGCGCAGGAATTAAGAGCAGCGCAGTTGAAAGTGGAATTTTTCTCAGTATTTATAAAGGACACTTTAATAATTTTGACAGCCTACTCCCTGGAAGTTAACTGTGAAAATGAAAACATTTAAACTATAAAAATACTCTCCATGCATCTCGGTTCTGAATATACTTATTTCATCACTTTTTCTGGATGGAAACTAGCGCTCATAACTATGATTTTTCACTTAGCAAAGTACCTTGGCTACAGCTGTGTGGAGGGATTAGGTCTAATCAATTATATACTCTTTTAAAGTGATACATTCAGTTCTTTGATTTCATTTTTTTTTTTTTCAGACAGAAACCCTCCTCCTGAGAGCGGAAAAGAGAGGCCTGTGTGATTGCTTTCATGCAATACACTGAAAGGAGCACTGGGATTTGGCCAATGGACATTTATTCATTTTAAAATGTTGTTCAGTAAATTACAGGAAGATACAGAGTTCAAGTTGTGCCACACTGCAAGGAAAATAATTTTTATCCAAACAGGTACAGCTCAGTTAGGTAATTTTTGCTTTGATGTGTTTTATCATTACTGTATGCAATATTGCATCTGCTGAAATGTCAACAGAAGAAACAGTGCCAAAATCTCGCTCATGGGTTTTATGCAAGGGTAGCATTTGCTTTTCTGGTATTTCAAGCCAAAAATTGTCCTTGGACTCTCAGGCCAGCCTCTCAGCACATGTGAATTGCCATAGATCTGTGAAAGTCAGTGGAGTCAAATTCTTTAATATATTTATGGTAGAATGTATCCCTAACATGAAAATGAAGCTACTTTACAATGATGCATAGCTAAACATTTACAAACAAGCAGTCATGGTTTTATATAGAAATTAATAGTTGTCACTGACTGCTTGGCAGGCCAAGGAAGGTATTTGTTCCCAATTGTATCAATAGTCCAGTGCACAGCAAACACAGTAATCTGTATCACAATTTTAATTTCTTCAGAGACGCACAGTAGCTGTGATCTTTTTGGAGAGATTTATTAAGTGTCTAATGTGATCAGTAACATTTGTAATCACATGAATACTGCCTGGCAATTGAATTGATTGCGTCTGCCAAAATCTTCTGGAGAAGTGTCTTTCATTAAGCAAATCACATACTGGATTGAGCCACTCAAACTGGCCTCTACAGAGAGTTTTGGCAGAGAGCCTACAAAATGCCTGCATGCCCAGGAGTCTCTTGCAAACTGTGTTTTGAGAAATATTTAAGTTCCACCAAAATGGCCCATAGCTTTTGAATGGACTTTACACTCCATAGCAGTGGGTTACAGTGCTGACACTATTAATAGTCCTGCTGCAGTCAGTGTGAGACAAGAGAGAACAAAACAATTTAGGCAGTCCAGTAGTAGTAGTAGTAGACAAGATTGCACCTTGTTACTCTTTGAAAAAGAATAGCGAATCCTTTCTCATTGTGTTCCTTTTTTCCTTTGTTTTGGGGAGAAGAGCAGAAAATGGCCTCAGTGGAAAGTTCTTATAGATAATAATAGATTTTTCATAGACTTAAAATATCATCCCCAAAGTATAATTAATAGAGATTTGTATATCATCTAGAGCACCTGTGTACAGGCTAGAAACTTTTATACAAACAAGAGTATGGAAGCAGTATCAAAAACAGTGGTTTTCAAAGTCATTTTACCAGTTCTTACTAATATGTCTGTCTTCCCACAAGTGGCTGATATTTTGCTCCCAGGCTGTCCAATAATTTGTGATGGTAGCCATCTATATGTTTCCAAAGTGCTTCTCTCCCGTTTTATCTACCACATTAGGCACAGGGAAATAGGGAACTGTGACCCACTGCCAACTTACTGTTTTGTGTGCAGACATACTCAGTAACACAAAGGAGTGTATTACCATATACTCTGCCAAAGTTGTTTGAAAGGCATGTGGTTCTCAGCAAGGAAAAGCTTCCTTGCACCTGCACTTCAAGTCGGAAATTTGCTTTGTCGTATTCTAGAAAAACCCTTTATAGGTCATCAGTACCTAGTTTATATAAAAGAGAAGCAGCATGACACAGCAACATGTTGCTTCTAGTAGCGTTACACTCCACTGTACCACTGGTAACTGACTGATGGGAAGCAATAGAGGTTCTTATCGTAGGCCATGTTTTATTTTACAGATAAAACAATAGGTTTAACAACTGTTTTGTAAAATACCCACCTTAGGTTACTTTACTCCCATTTAGATATGAACCAAAGGAGCGCACAGATTTTGAGTCACCTTTTTGCAGGAGATGGAGTTCCAGCACTGAACCCGTGAATTTTCCAGCACAGCTCACCTTTTCAAGGGGCAGCATGTCTATAGTTTTATATTGCTATTGTGCTATTGGTACCTTAAAGAATCTTGCAAAGTCCTGTTAGCAAGCACTGTTGTTTGAGCTGTTTTTATTTAGAAAAATGGTTGCTCACAGTTCAGTTTTGATATACGCAGCTTGTTATGATAAAAAGGTGGGAAGAAAAACATGTAGATGTTCTCTGACTCCCAAAGGGATCAGAGTGACACTGCAACTTTACGGTTGTGATGACAGTGATTATTCTGTGTGTACTCCTCTTTGTCTATAATACAATACAATAAAAGGGCAAGATGCATTATAGTATTCGGTGTGCTTTGTTACTGATTTGAAAAATGATAGTGCTTATGCGTTAATAAATATCCGGTCTCTAATTAGGTGGAAAATCCACTGAGAAAAAATGCTATTTTGAATACGAAAATAAAGAAATGTTGTGTGGGGGCTAAATTTATGAATGTATTCTTATTTGCTGAAGTATAAAATTGAACTCACTCTTATTTGAAATTAAAAGTAGTGCAACGATCTTCCGAGATTTTTAAAGGACCCCACACTCTACTTGGTGGTTGTGATAAAGCTCCTTATAATTGCTGGATGGCATGAAGAAAAAAAAATTTGAGTTAGATAGTTTTAATTTATTATTGTTCATGAAGTTAATTTAAATTCAGAACACGCTTGAGTCTCCACTTACTAGAAGAAACTGTATATTTTACAAACAGGTTGAATTTGCAGGAGGCCTTAAAGCAGAAAGTCTGTTTCCCACACACCACTTCCAGCACTGTTTTACTGAGGAGCCAAGGCAGTTCTCATGACCTTTCGAAACCAAGCTGTGTCTTCTTTTCTTTTGGTGCAGTGCTGCTGCAGGTAGCCCTGGGCACTTGGCATTTGTACACAAGGTGGAGTGCAAGTGGTAGGCTGTAAAGATGCACAGCGAAGTCCTCCCTATAAGAGAAATGGTATAATCATGTTAGCATGTTACTATCTCTGGGTAGGCAAGGTGGTGGATAAATCCTGGTAATGATCTCCACATCTCCAGAGCTTCTCATACCTGAGCTAATGCCTTCTTTGGGTGTAATTCTGTGTGCATTCCAAGATAGTAATTTTGAGCTGAGTGTAATGACAACTCTCTGAAGACATATCTCTGGATTTCATGATGAAAAATGGGAACACAATTTATCTTGCTTGTAATGAAGATTCCTGCTAGGTAACGTCAAAGCTAGGTAGTATTATTGCTAGCTGAATCTGGCTAGTGTATGGGCTGGTGTTCCTTGCCCATATTTTTGTGTGGAATACTCTGAAAGCCCCATGGAATACTCTCTCCAGATGGAAATCTTATATTTAGAAATCAGTTATTTCTTTGTACCCACAACTAGTCTGTAGGTAACTCCTGGGTGATCTGAGCATCCAATATACACTCACTATTTTCTAAGCAATAGTTATAAAGTGTGTAGGTAGTTCCCTTAAGAGTAGCCATGTGGTTTCTGCGCCCCTCCTTCACCTGCCCCAGGCTGGTACCCAGAGACAAGACCTCTTCCTGTAGCAGTGGGACTTGCGGAGTGGGCTGATGCTGGCCGTTTGTTTGCTACCAGAACAGAGATCTCACTCTGCTGAGAGAAAGCACTTGCTGTGCTGAAGGAGGCTAACAAGAATTCCAGTTTAGTTCAAAGGTAATTTAAAAGAAGAAAGGCTCTGAGGCTGTTGTGCCTTTCCCAAGGTAGAGAAGCATAAAGGATGTTTTTTCTTTGGAACCAGCATAGGGCAGAAAGTTTGGCTTTGCCTCTCTTGGCAGATAGGAAAGAGACCCCCTTGCCTAAAACAATGTTCTGCTTAGTCCTTCCCTGGCCAGGACTCAGTGAGTGAGAGAAAAGGGGTGCAAGTGTGGAGGGGAAAAGACATATGTGCCTTCTGCGACCCGGCTGAGTTCTGGCAAATCAATACTCCTGACTGGAAACCAGAGCTGCAGCTCCTAAGGATTTATATGCTGTGCGTGGTAAGCAGAGACTGCAATCATTTTGAATGAGGGCAGTGCTGCTGACAAAGCCAGCCCAGCGGTATCAGGAATAGGATTTGAAATGGGGAGCACAGAGATGTTGTGCACACTGATGCAAAAGAAGCGATGATTTTCCCCACTCTCATCAAGCATGGCATGTGAATTTTCCAAGTTTTCTGGAACCTGCTTTTGAGAGCTGTGCAATGAAATGCAGATGGGAGAGGTGGTTGTGAATAGTGCCTGTGCTCCTCAGCTGGAGCTGTGCAGAACATGGAAAGTCGCAGGGAGGCTTTGTGCTGTGCTTGTTCCCAAAGAAAATACGGAAGAGCTGGAAGCATCTTTTGTAAACTGGTATTTGCCAATTTGAAAATTAAGGGGAAACTGATTTGCAGGTGCTTTTACTAGCCAAGGAGAAAGACAGCACTCACTTAAAGAGTGCTCTTGGCAGTAAAAGTTAAATAGAGGTGGAAAACTAATATCAATTGCAAATTTATATATATATGTTTATTTGGCCTCTAAATATGTTTATTTAGCCTCATTTTTGCTCCAGTAAACATTTTGAATAAATAATTTCTGACAGTGATGGATGAAGCCGGATGGGTCTGTCTGCTAAACTTCTGAAAAGACATTGTGATTTTCCACTTTCTGATTCTGGCTCTGCCTTGAACATGCCTTAGGGCTCTGTTCAGAACATGCACTCTGTGTCTCTGCATCTCCACATGGGCAAAGGAAGGAAAGAATTTCCCCCCTCCCCATATGCTCATGACAATTTGTTGACTGCTGGAGAAGGATCCCACACTAGAAGTGCCTTTGGTCTAACCCAATGTGGACAAGCTTATGTGCTTATGTTATGTTCTCCGTGTATATGGCTAGAAAGGAAGTTGAAGTTATTAACTTCCTTCCCTAAACTCCAGAGGGGAGGAATAAGAAACGCAAGGAGGCTGTTAGAAAACCACTTAATCGTTCTCATTGTTCTTGAGGAGACCGAAGCACATGGTAAACTTTGCAGAGGCCACTTGCCTCAAACCTATCTCACCTGCTCCATCCCTGAGCTGGATGGCAAAGGGGAGACAACTGGATCCCTGAAACA